CCCTCTCCCCAGGCCCAGGCTGGCGGCTCCCGGGAGCTTGCCCAGGACCGCAAGAAGTGGGCACCTTCCTGGGCTAGTGCAGACATAATGGACCTTGTCCATGATCTCTGCACTAGGTTCAGGAAAGTGGCCGTCTAGGGCAGGAGGGCTGCCAGCCTGGCCACCCAGGACCAGGTGTGCATGAAAATCAAGGGGGTCCACTGAGACCCCCGACCCTGAGCCCTGAGCTTACAATGGCCGTCCTGGGTCAGACCAAAGGTCCATCTAGCCCAGTAGCCTGTCTGCCAACAGCGGCCAACCCTAGGGACCCTGGAGGGGATGGACCGAAGACAATGACCAAGCCATTTGTCTCGTGCCATCCCTCTCCAGCCTTCCACAAACTTTGGGCAGGGACACCACTCCTACCCTCTGGCTAATAGGACTCCATGGACCCAACCTCCATGACTTGATCTCACTTCCCTTTAAACTCTGTTCTAGTTGTAGCCTTCACAGCCTCCTGCAGCAAGGAGTTCCACAGGTTAACTATTTGCTTTGTCAAGAACAACTTTCTCTTACTAGTTTCAAGCCTGCTACCCATTCCTTTCCTTTGGTGTCCTCTAGTCCTTCTTTATGGGAACTCAGGAAGAACTTTTCTGAATGCACCCTCTCCACCCAACCCCTGCTTTTAGAGACCTCTATCCTGTCCCCCCTCCGTCTCCTCTTTTCTAAGCTGAACAGTCCCAGTCTCTGTAGCCTCTCTTCATCTGGGACCTGTTCCCAACCCCTGATCATGTTAGTTGCCCTCCCCTCTCCCAGCCTTTCTCTTCCCCTCTCCCACCTCCTTTTCCCAGTCTCCCCCAGTTTTGTTCAATAAAGACAGAGTCAATGTTGGAAGAAACGTTATCTTTATTTTGTACATCAATAAGAAGGGGGGCTAGGGAAGGGTAAGTGGAAGGAGGTGAGGGAGGAATGGGGTACGAGCCCCCGATGGGGAGGACTGGGCTGGCTCTGCGGGCTTTTGGGGTGGAAGCTCTCCTGCAGCCCCCCAATTACTCCCTCTCCCCAGATGGCAGCCTGCGGCAAGTGCAGCTGGGCTGATGGCCGAGTGGTGTGATGTGCCCAGTGTGGGCACTCAGGGCACTCCAAGCCAGAACTTCTTTGCAAGCGGGGCACCCCTTAGAACTGTCTGTCCGGGGTGGGGGTCGGGACCCTTTAAGCGCAGCCCTCGGCTAGCCTGAGACAGCATCTCCACGCTCTAAGTCCTCCTCTGATGCCCTGCCGTCACTGCTTCCGGCCATCCTTAAGCCCTGTTCAGAGTCCACTCAATGTGGACTTGCTAGTTCGAATTAGCAAAACGCTAATTCGAACTAGTTTTTAGTTCTAGACGCGTTAGTTCGAATTAGCTTAGTTCGAATTAACTAATTCGAACTAAGTTAGTTCGAACTAACTCTGTAGTGTAGACATACCCCTTTTGAGTGGGGATGATTGGCATTTTATTTACAATGTACGGTACACACTCCGCATTAACTAGGAAACTGAGGTTTTTTTTAAATCAACCTTGAAAAATGTTAGATTTAAATTGTAGAAAAAAATAGGCATGGGAAATCAAATGCTAATTTTGAAGGAGGTTTGAAATGCCTGCCATTCACTGAGGCCTGGTCTAGTGTAGACCAGGTCAGGTTAAGGTAAGCCATTCAGCAATGCAAAATGTATAGCCGGATATCTTAAGTCACACTACCACAGCTTATATTACACTGGCTTTTCCGGAAAAGCAGCCTGCCAGTGTAGATGCTCTTTTTCCAGATATACTTATAACGAAAACTATTCTGTTTTAAGCATTTCCGGAAATTCATGCCAGTGTAGACACAGCCCTACTGTTCTCATGATTGTGCTCCACTTGGTTTAATTTTCTGTACCTAATAAGGGATGTTTTTAGGTGGTGTGAATAACAGGTGCAATTTAAATAATGTTTGGGAGAAAGGATCCTGCTTGGAATGAATTCCAGCTCCGAATGTTGAGCGCTGTTACTCATAATAGTGCAGGTGAAATTATGACACTGATTGGCCTGGCATCATGTTAGTTCGCTTACTTTTCATATTCACCATGGAGCAGTACAAAGTCAAAAGGGTTATTACTGCAAAGTAGCAACTAGGAGGGAGTAGTGGGGTAAGACAGGCTCTCCCTTGTAGAACAATTGTTTTGTTTTGAGTGCACTAGGAACTATGGATTTCAGAGCTGAACTTCTGTAAAGTGGTTTAGGATTTGGTGTATGGATCCAGGACATGAAGTTTGGATTAGGAACTTGACTTTCATAGAGGTCAGGGGTTCAGATCTTGTTCAAATCCAGTCCAGAGATATAGAGATGGTTCATTGCACAATGGTCTTCTCAGTATGCAGGTGCCCATCTGACAAATAGCACTCTCAAAACTAGCACTTAATTGATACCTTTCTTGGCAGTTTCAATAAAGAGGCCAATGACTGAGATGGGCCAGGGAGGCTGGAATTGACCTCTGGAGGGTTTCCTCCAAGTGAACAATAAGGCACATGGGCAGAAGAGTATGTGGCTAAAAAAAAAAGCAACTGCTTGTGTGGTACAGTGGATAAATAGCTCTTTCAGAGCTGTCAACTCTTTCACCCAGCATTAAATACATGGTTGGCGCTTAAATTGCATGTCCAGCCCTGGGATTCTTGTGACTCAGATGATATGTGGTTAACTAAGATCTGTTTAGTATTAGCAAACTGCAACCTTTCTCATAAATATTTAAAGGAGAGTAAGAGTGCAATCATTTTAAAGTATAATGGTAACATAAGGAACTTAATTTATGATGGAAAAAGTACATTTGCTACAAGAATAATAAAGGGGAAGAAAGCTGAATTTCATGGTTTGAGGGCTATGTATCCTGATGGTTAGAAGACAAGAAGAAAAATAACCCCACTGAAGAGGCGCCTTACAGCAGTGCACATATATTAAATTTCTTCATCAAATATATATTTATGCAAAAAACAAAAGAAAAAAAGGAGCTGAAACCACATGAAGGGAACTTTCAGTATTTTTCCTCTGTAATGCTTATCGCAGATTAATTCTGGAAAAGGATGTTCTAAATCTGTCTGGTCACTTTATTCCCCCTGGCCTCCACGCTTCCTCTTTACACAGGAAGCAGCCACTGAGGCTCCACCCCCCAGCAGGAATTTCCCAAGCGAAAACAACGAGCGGGGATTCCATATAAGGAAGTTTGGGATGGCATGAGAGGCTCACTAGGTAAACACACACCTATAGAAGTGGGAGCATCCTCTCGTACTGCGACATCTTCCCCTGCCCACAGGCACCTTCCTTTTAGGCTATAATTTCCACTCCCACACCCATCCGCCCGTTAAAGCAGAAAAATCCTTTGGTCAGATTCCTTTGCGATTCACAAGGGAAATATGCTGAGATTTCATTCATCTCTGTTGCTAAATGGGTATCATCAGCTTGTAGTGAAATGAAGGACATTTGCTTCTGTGTCAAGAAATGGCTGGTGGAGAGATTGCCTTAGCACCAGGTGGAGAAAGGATAACGGCTTGTAAACAGGGGGCTGAATTGTAAAACCCAAGAACTTCAGGGTGTGGTCCAAGCTTTTATGGCATGTTCATCCCTGGGGCAAGACCAGTGAAATGAGCAAAAATACTCCAGGGATAAATTTGGTCCTCTAATGATTTAAGAAGAGGAGGCTTTCTCAGTGTCCTCACCAAGGCTGAGGGGGAAGGTATGGGCAAGCCCTGCTTATTCCAGCCAGGAGAGGAAGCGGGGTTCAGAAAGTGGAAAAGGGGGAGACACACTCAGCCCCATTTCCCCTCACTTTGTCCCCTGCCCACTGCACATAAAAATAGAGATCTGGCAATGCAATAGGGCCCAATGCTGTTCCCAGTGACATCAACTGGAGTCTGACCATTGGCTGCAATGGAAAGCCAGGATGGTATCTTGGGACCCAATCATTTCAGGTGTGGGTTGCTTCCTGGGAGGGGGAGACATACTGTAGTCAGGAGAATGGGCAGGCATCTAGCACCTCCCAGAAGGTGCTCACTGTGTCACAGGATTAGGCCCCAATGTATATGTCCAGCTTGCAAAAAATGTGCAGTTATTACAGTACAACTATTTTGACACCCCGTTCCCCAGAGGCTGGGTGTTCACATCACCAAACCCACTAGCTCAGTTGGTAGCTGTTGGTCCCCTTGACATGCCTGTCAGTAGAGAGGAAGAAGATTGCATTGCCAAGGAGACTTAGCTCCTTTCCTGTGCCAAGAGGAGGACTATCCAGAACAGACTGAGGCAGACTGGCCAGAGCAGAGGGAAGGGACTGGCACTGCCATTTCTCATGCTGTATCTCTTCTGCTCAACATGCAAACAGAAAGAAACATGATCTAGTATTTAGAGCACAAGGTTGGGAGCCAAGAGCTCTATTCCTCACTCTGCTTCTCTGTGGGCTTCAGCTAACATTTTCTAAAGTCAGCAAAGATGCTCCCATTTATTCAGTGGGTGTGAATCAGGCTCGAAGACTTTAATGCTTTCATCTTTCTCTTTAATATGTAAAACTGGTTCTGGGCTCTTTTGACCAAATGCAGCCCTGGCCTAAGCAGGTACAAACTCTAGTGAGGGCAATGGAAGCTGTGCCAACTTACACCTGAGTTTGTCACTTTGTTGCGAAATGTGAAATAGAACAGAAATGTGTAAAAGGGCAACGCAGGTACCAGGCTATAAAACTGGCTAGCTTTCCATCTAAGAGCCAGATTCCTTACAGAACAGTTTACTTTTCAAACAAATTAGCATCTTGTCATCTCTTTTTGCCAACATATTCAGAAAGAGCAAGATATAAGGAGGTGGGGGGAGGGTGGGGGGAGAGGAATAATTGGCATAGCCTCACCCTAACACTAACAAAGGCCACATGCATGGATCAGTAATAAAGCTCTGTGAAGGATTTAGAAGGTTTAAGGTGGCTTTTGGAGGTCTTTGCCATTCTTTGATTCCTACCAGCTTTGCTTTAAAACTCACCCATCCCCACAAACTCTTTTTTGTACTTGTCTTTGTCTTTCTATGAGGTTAGGTTAATCTGAAATTTCCACTTACCTGTAGAAGCTTGGGTTTGATATCCGGTGCGGTGACCCGGCAGGGTACAACCACCTCTTTGGTCACATTCAATACGTAGATCACTCTGGGATGGTCAAG